GCCACCACACCTGGCCTCTGATGAATATTTTTAGGACAGAAGTGAAGATCATCAAGATTCTTAAAAGGAGTATCAACAATTCCACTCCAGAGTAAGGTATACACAAAGGATTGTATAGGTTCAGGAGTAAAACCCCCAACATTTAATTTTTTCTTTTACTTTTAAATTATAGTAGATCCTTCATAGTTGACCACCTCCCTACAATGACAGCCTCAAGTTGACCTAATTTTCATAGATGTACCACATCTATGTATCAGTACAGCAGGCCTACTTCCTTATGTTGCTACCTCCATATATTGACCAGTTCATTTCAGACCCTTAGAGTAGTCAGCTTACAGAGGTTCTACTATATTTAACATTAAAAAAAAAAAACAAAATAGGGCAGCACCCGTGGCTAAGTGAGTAGGGCACCGGGCCCATATACCAAGGGTGGCAGGTTCGAACCCAGCCCCAGCCAAACTGCAACAACAACAACAAAAATATCCAGGTGTTGTGGTGGGTACTACCTAGGAGGCTGAGGCAAGAAAATCACCTAAGCCCAAGAGCTAGAGGTTGCTGTGAGCTATGATGCCACGGCACTCCACCAAGGGCAACAAAGTGAGACTCTGTCTCTAAAAAAAAATTCAACAAAACAAACAAAAAAGATAGAGTCTGAATTTTTGCCTTTTTATCCCAAAATAGGACTTAAGAACCTATAGCCCATGGAACTACTGGGGTGACATGCCTATAGGATTATTATTTCAGTCGGTCAGAAAATCAGATATGGGAAGAGAAGCAAGAATTTGTCCTCCTGTTGAGGACAGTATGTACATGTGGTACTTCTCCCCGGATTAGAGTACATCTCTCAGAAGCAAAGAAAATGAACGATATGTTGTGAAAACATAAAGTAGGTCCCCCATATGGAAAATACAGTTATTCAAGGTACACTAACCCTACAGATATGGAGGACTGATTTTTTGTATCTGTGGGTTCTGTAGGGCCAATGGTGGGACTACAGCATATGAGGATTTTGATATCTAAAGAGAGGGGAGTCCTAGGGATGACAGTACATGATAAATGATCAACTGAGTTTTTATCATGGTAAAGGTACTTCCTAGAAGATGAAGATATAAAAGGATATGTATCAATTCCCAAGGATTTTGTCCCTTAGATAGTAAATTAAAGTAAACAATAATGAATGTCACAGCATTCATTGGTAATTTTGAGATTACCAACACCTTTCTAAAGGAACTTGGTATTGTGGTTTCACATATGAAATTCAATTTATAAAATGAGCTACATTAATTTAAGGTCCAAGGAACAGACATTCGCATCAAGTTATAAGGTTTCTAGTTAGGGCTTCTAAAAAGGGCAGGAAAAAAAAAAAAGAAAATTACAGATGAGGATGACCTTCCATGTCCTGTGAACCCTCATAACCCTTTCTCACACCTCATGATATCAGAGTCCAGCAGGAACCCAATAACCCATGTTGTAAAGGAACCATGAGAACTGATCCCAGCACCTCACCAGTGAACTGACTCAGCCTGGGCAAGTCCCTACCCTCTTCCTCTCTCTCTTCACCTCTGAGATGCTCAGAGCACTGAACTTTCTAAATGGAAAGACATCATGCCACATGGCCTGAGAGTGCAAGGATGTTGATACAACAATAAACAAGTGTAAGTGAATCTCACGAATACTGTGAAGAACCAGAGAAGGATGGTACTTTCACTTTGTCTACATACCCAAAATTAATTAAAGTTGACCAGGAAATTAAAGTCTAAAACTGGTTCCTTACCTAGGAAGATCAGAAAAGCTGTAAGACTCCTTGAAGAAGTTACAAGTTGGTGATCTGAAATCAGTTTTGTTACTCTGAAACAAGTTAATGTTTTTAAACCTTAAAATACTAAAGAAGTATCTAGAATTGACTCACTTTTTCAGGCTTAAAAGACAGTCTAACTATTCAAAGCAACCCCAAAACTCCCCAGACTGTGACATCAATGATTTATCACCCATTAGACACACACATGCCAGTATCTCACTTCTGATTGTTTTTCACTTTCAAAAGGCGGGTATGTTACTTGTTTTCTTTCTTCCTTCTCACTTGATCTCTAGTTTCTTCTACCATTGGTTTTTAATTTTTCTGCCCTTCAACACTAATTCAAAGTAGACAAGAAAAATCACCTTTTATCAAACCTCCTCACTACTCATACTTAACAGAACCAAAAGGTAGGCAGGGAAATCACAAGATGTTACTTTCCTCACTCCTCCAAATCAAAAGATAAACTTGACTAAATTCATCCACATTTTCCTAAAACATGAAAATTTAAAGACACACAGGTACTAAATCCTTGGTTGTTATCCTAGTGATGATAATTACAACCACTTAGGAGTCACCTGAGAAATTCCTGTATGACTCCCTTAACTTCCAGGCAAAAATAACCAGAAGGTTCCACTCCCTCTGTGTTGCTTTTACTGTTATCCTTTTCCTCAGACGTTAGTAGAAGGAATCCTTTCAATTCCGAATGACTGGAAGCCAGTAAGTCAAGGCCCCTCACTTGGGAGCCACAGCGGTGGGTTCTGACTCACTAGCATCAGAGTAAAGCCACTCAAACAGCAGCAGAGAGCCAAGTTCTCACGCAGAAGGGACAGAGACTGAACCACCAGCCGTCTTTATTTAAAGGTGGAGTGGGGAGGCTGTCTTTCCATTGTAATCTGTCTGTAAGACCAGAGAAACTGGTTCAACGGATAAGGGAGGCAGATGCCCCTTGGCTGCCTACACCCTTGGCCCTAGTCAGCCCTTCTGTGTTGCAATTGGGCAAGGCTCTTCCATGGAGTTTCAGGGCTCTGGGCCACCTACCCAAGGACAATACAGACCTTATCTTTTCAACATGCTTCCAAATTCATGCCTACAGGCTGAGTGGAGACTCTGGTCTGTCTCTTCTGCTAGAGTTAGACTGAGGGAGACCCAGGGCAGTTCCCAAAGCTCCATGCTCTACCACCCTAGCCAGCCATACCCAGGCATTTCCTTGGAGGCACCTAACTCACCTCCCACTTAAGCCCAAGTGTTCCATCTTCACAAGTTTCGGATCTAGGAAAGAAGGAGGAGTAAAGTGGAGAGGGCTACAGCCCCCCCCCCCTTGTCACCTTTCTTTTCCCTTTTATGCTGCTCTCATCACTAGACCTTTTGTCTCCCTCCATCTTCATCTGAGGCAGAGGCCCCTCTGGCTCTGGTAGCATCCACCTCGCATGCCCCCTGTTCTAGCCATAGAGCCCATGGCCACTGCTTTCCCAGTCCCCAGGGAGGAGGTAGCTGGACCCTAAGCTGGTTCCCCACCCCTCCTCTGCACCACAGCATGAGAGACTGCCAGGGCAATTCTCAAGGGCTAGTGAGACCCCAAAAGAATTACCCTGTAGGGAGGCTGGGTCTGCCACACATCTGGACTCAAGGAGGCAGCTGCAGGGACCTCCAATAAGCCCTGCCTAAGCCTCCACATTCTGCCTTTGACAGGAAATGAGCTCCCAAGAAATTCTGCTGGATAAATGTCTTACCACAAAAAATAAGTGAGGGGAGGGATATGTTAATAAGTTTGATTTAAGAATTCCATATCATATATCAAATCATCACATTGTACCCCATAAATGTATACAGTTATGATTTTAATTACAAACTAAATTAAAAAAATAAAGAAATCCTGCTGAGAAATCCTTCACCAAGAAAGTGGCCTTCCAAAGGAACCCACCCACTCAGATTCCCTTTTGCCACTTCCTGCTTCCTCCCCTAATACCCTTTTTCTTCAGTTCCCAGCCTTGGTTTTGAATATTTCTGAACCAGTCTTAGGCTGTTCCTGCCCCCTCAGATTCCTTCTCCCTCTGAATTCTGGCTTATAAAGTTGGATATCACAAGGTTCCAGGCTGTTCTAACTGAACAGAGAGATTGAGACAGTCTAATGCTAGGATCATAAACCTTAATGATTTGGGGAAAAGTCCTTCAAATTTAATTGGTTTTTATAACCTTAAATCTGCTCAGGACAGATGATTTGTCAGGGCTACGTCCTGTGTATCACAAAGAAGATGGTGAAGGGTGCTTGGATGAAGTTTACTCACCAGTAACTCTGCCAGAAAGTTCCATCAGGATTTTGCCTAGATTGGAGACTGGGGCATCAAAATGGGGGCGGGGCCAAGAGGCCCACTAGTTAAAACTTTTTAAAAGGGCAAATGCCAAGTAAAAGGTTTATTCACACTTTCAACCACACAAAAACAGTCTTTCTTTCCCCCGCTCTCCTTGCTGAAGTGTTAAACTGACATGAGCAGTGTTCGGACGTCTGCTAACTCTATCTAGGAAGGTCCTGAGTTCTTTGTCAGGAGGGGCTACACAATCCACAACCTTCTCTCGGTGATCTTTCTCACTCTCCGTTTTTGCCAGCTGCTTTGAGGGAAATTGTTAGCTTCCTGCAAGTCTCCTGAACAACATTAAAATTAGTAGAATAATTAAATACAGTCCTAATTGGGTGCGAATAGTGTTCTTGGTTAATTAATAAGCCAAGTACGTCCCTGAGCTGCAAATCCATGCTGGCCTGCGAAAGCCTAGGCAGAGAAAAGTGCATTTCAGTCCCATAGGAAAACTGTCACTTGGCAAAAATAGTTCCTGGTGTAGGAATAAGTGTCAAACGCATTCCTATAGCTGGGAGTCATGTGTCAATCCTGCAACTGAGGTCCATATGGGAATGAGAAGTGAAGTGTGGCTGGCTCCCCACCACTACAGGATGGGAAGGGACACATGAAGGCACACACAGTTCTGAGGCCCCCTCCCTGACCCCTGGCAGGCTGGCACCCTGACATCCAAAGCTGCTGGTAAACTAACTGAGTTCCCAAAGAGCGGTGGCTCAGAACACCCGCAGGGGAGAGCGCGCCCTCCTGTCCCCACTCCCCTGTCGCTTCCTCCCCAGGGAGGTTCCCCCATCGGAGCTACACTGCATCAGTTCGGCTAAAAGAAAGCACCAACGCTGCTGATCGCCACTCACCACTGCACTGGAGGCAACAGCAGCACTTAGCGAAGATCCACCCCAAAAAGGGACCTCGGGTGTAAGCCCGGTTGCTGCCCTTCATGCTGCCCCTCGGCCCCAGCGCTCCCGCATCGCACAGGGTGAGAGCGCAGCAGGCAGAAAACTTCTGCGCTGCCACCCGGGAGCCAGCTCCCGCGCTCGCTCTCAGCTCTCTGGATTGCTCCCTGCCGTCCTCTCCCCGCAGCAGCCCCGGCTCTGACTTACTGGGAGTCAGAGCCAACTAGGAAGAGGGGTGGGGTCTGGCTGGGAGGGCGGACCTGAGGGGGCGGAGCTCCAAGGTCCAGCTGTTTGTGGGAGACCTCGCTAGCCCCGCCTGAGATTCACACACCACGGTTGCGGCTCTGGGCACTGGGCAGAGGTTGGGATGATGGTCTGACACAGAGCACCTGGCACAAAACAGGCCCCTCAACGCCCACCATGATCTGCTTTGGCTTAATAAAAGACAACTAGAAGAAGCCAAAGAGGTGAGAGAGGAGCGGATTCACAAGGTTCAACACACAGTAACGCTTTTCTCTCTAACATTTTCACCCTTTGCGGAGACTCAGCCTCCTCTGTATTGACAACCTTTCCCCCCCCCTTTTCTTTCCTTCCATTTAATGCCTATTACTGATAATGATAATAGTGCCCTCACCTCTTTCTCAGCAACTGCAAGTATATGTTCAAAAGCACTCCGGGTTTGGAATCATAAAACCAAAGTTCAAAGCTCAGTTTTGCCATCTACTAGCTGTCTGACCTTAGGCAAATCATTCTACCTTTTTTTTCTTTCTTTTTTCAGTTTTTGGCCGGGGGCTGGGTTTGAACCCACCACCTCCAGCATATGGGGCTGGAACCCTACTCCTTTGAGCCACAGGTGCCACCCCCATTCTACCTTTTTGATATTTCATTTCCCCATTTTAAAAAAACCAGTAGAAGGAAAAATAATTCTTACATTACATAATTGCTAGTAGAATAAAAAAGACAGATCCATGGACACACCTGTCACATAGATGATGTTTTACAAGTTCCAGGAGAATGAATGGCTACAGAGAAATTCCAAATTCCAAATAGCCTACTTTTACCATCTCCCCCAAATACCATCTCCATTTACCATCTCCCCCAAATACACCTGATGGATCAATCATTCATTTACTTATACCTCTTCTATATCTTCTCATTTAAGCCTTTTTCTTTCTTTTTTTTTTTTTTAATTTTGAGACAGAGTCTCACTATGTTGTCTTTGGTAGAGTGCCATGGCATCACAGCTTACAGCAACCTCAAACTCTTGGGCTTAAGCAATTCTCTTGCCTCAGCCTCCCGAGTAGCTGGGACTGCAGACACCCGCCACAATGCCTGGCTATTTTTTGGTTGCAGTTGTCATTTTTGTTTGGCAGCCCTGGGCCGGGCTCAAACTCACTAGTCTCCGTGTATGTGGCCGGCTCCCTGCTCACTGAGCGCAGGCACCGAGCCCTTTTTCATGTTTTAAGGCCAAGTTTACTTTCTACAACACCCTGAAGCCTATATGGACCACATCAAAGTATCTCACTTCTTTGTGTCCAGCTTTAGGGCAAAGGGCCTGTTTGAAACACATAACACTTATAAAGAGGGCCCATTCATCAGAAAAAAGGGAAGGTTATGAGAAGAATGAAAAACAGAAGCTTGATCACCCTAGTAACCAAGTCCCACCCAGAAGAAAGACAGTGAATGGATAAGGCTTTTACTAATAGGAGTTGTCAGGATTTGGGGCTTCCATTCCCAGTTTTTAATTTATTTTATTTTTTTCCTTTATTAAATCATAACTGTGTGCATTAATGCATTTGTGGGGTACAACGTGCTGATTTGACATACAATATGGAATGCTTACATCTGACTGATTAATATAACCATCTTTGCTTACTTATTTGTTGTGGTAAGACATTTATACTCTATTCTTAACAGTTTTGAAATGTACCATTGCATTATTCACATTAGGTGAAGTCCCACCAAATATCGTCCCTCTTCCCAGCCTCCCCCATCCCTCTCTTCTCCCTCCTCTTCCATCCTTCTTTCTGGACTATAGTTATGTTTTACCATTTGTATGAATGTGTAGGTGATTTCAAAGTAGTATTGAGTACACTGGATACTTTCTTCTCCATTCTTGAGATACTTTACTAATAAGAATATGTTGCAGCTCCATCCAGGTAAACATAAAAGATGTGAAGTCTCCATCTTTTCATGGCTGCATAGTATTCCATGGTATACATATAACACAATTCGTTAATCCATTCATGGGTTGATGGGTACTCGGGCTATTTCCATGAAAGACACAGGTTGGCTGATTGGATACATAAACTCAGACCAGATATCTGTTGCATACAAGAGTCATATCTTACCTTAAAGGATAAAAATAGACTTAGGGTGAAAGGATGGACATCCCAGTTTGAACCATGCTTAGATTTTCACCTTATTCATCTATGTGCTAAGGCATCTACCACATGATACAGAATGCTCAGTAAATGATAGGAATAACACTTAATGAGTAACAATTTCTAAGATTTATTGAGCATTTATATGCCATGTAGTTTCTTCAGTATTCTATTAGCTCATTTATCCCTTCCCGCACACAAACCTTATAAAGTTGGGTTTTTCTTTTACATATGAGGAATGCAAATTAATGAACTCTGAGGCTTTAATATTTGACTCTAAATAGAAACTCTAAGACACCCGACCTCATAGAAACAACAGAACCTAAACTGAAAATCTAGCCTCTAGTTCTGCTATTGCCATCTCCCTAAGATGACCTCTCCTAGCAAGAATTACATGCCCGTATCTTGCTATGTATAATGGGCACCTTTTTGCCCAAATTTTTGAGGAGACAATAAGGATGAGCATTACATATGGATAGTACTAATTCCATATATATACAAATTTTTTTTCCTCTTTTTTTGCAGTTTTTTTTTGGCCAGGGCTGGGTTTGAACCCACCACCTCCAGCATATGGGGATGGTGCCCTACTCCTTGAGCCACAGACACCACCTTCTATACAAATGTTTTTAATTCTTTTATTTATGCTTATGCATCAAAAGTATAGCTCCAGAAGGCAATAATGATATCTGCATGCAAAATAGTACTCTAGAATATGGTAATCAGTTTTGTGGAACTTATAATAAAACCATTTTCAATCAATGAAAAGCAACATATTTCTCTTTGCACACTTTAGGTGAGAACTATCAATCTAGCTGATATTTTCACAAAAATTATTGAAAAATCTTTTGGAAAATGTTGAATGGTTTTCATACACTGCAAACTTTATGCTCACGGTTATTAAATATGCTAAAGAGTGTGGCAACAGAGCTGCCAAGAGACACTTTGGACCTCTTCCCAGAGAGAGTGTCATCAGAGTGTAGAGGAAACAGGAAGAAAAGCTTCTTCAGATGCCAAGAGAGAAGACGACAATGCGAGGGAAATCTCCAAAGAGCAGGAGGTGAAGACCTGGGTTCTGGAGCAGCATCAAATTGGGATCTCTGTTTTGATCAAGATGATACAAGAAGAGGGTAAAAGGATTGCACCAGAATAAAACATGGATGATTTCTTAGGGACACTTAAATGGTGACTTAACTTTATGAAGAGAGAAGGTTTGAGCATGAGGACATGAACAAAACTTGCCCCAGAACTTCCAGAGCCCATCAGAATCAAGTTTTGGAACTTCATTCTTAAGTAATCAGTCTTCAGAAGACTTACACCTTTAAGCTGTCCCAATTCACCAATAGGGGTAAGTTCCACTCACATTTAATGTGCTGTCCAACAGACCTGTGGATGTCAAAGGAACGAAGACTGTGGGTGATAAAACTGGGGGACATGAGAAAATGCAGTTCATTGTTGTTCTAGCCTGTTGTGCATATGGGACAAACCTACCACCTACGATCATCTTTAAAAGAAATGTTTTTGAAAGAGAAGATTCCAAGTGGAGTTATTGTCCACATGCATGAAAAAGGATGGATTAATGAAGAAGGCATGAAAATTTGGTTTAACAAAGGCTGGTCATAGAAGGCCTGGAGGATCACTTAAAAAAACAGTTTTGCTTCTTTTTGATCACTTCAAAACCCATGTTACACAAAGTGCCAAATCGATTGCAGAGGACTTGAAAATCCAACTTCCTGTGATACCTGGTGGGCTAACCAGCCAACTGCAACCTCTTGATGTGTCAGTAAACAAGCCCTTTAAGGACCTAATGAAGAAAGAGTGGACACTGTCATATAGTCAGCTGGTAGTGATTTAACACCCACAGGCAGATTCAAGAAAACATCCATTGCCAGGTTTATGATTGGATCCCAAGACCACGGAACAGTGTGAAAAAGAAAGTAGTTGTGAAATTGTTTAAAAAATACAGCATCAGCAATGCTATGGATGAAACTGAGGAGGATGAAATTTACCAGGTTGAGGAAAGTGACTTGTCAGAATATACTAGTAATGTAGAAATTGAAGATGATGATACATCTGATATTGACAGTGATGAAGCGCTCTTGGCATTCTACGATGCATAAATATTGTAAATTTGTTATCAGTACATGAAATTTCTTATACCTAATATCTGTTCTCATGTTTTATAATTATTTGTTATATAAAATTTCTTGTACCACAATTATTAAAAAATAAATGCTAAAACTCCTTTATAATACAAAAAACAAGTCCCTATATACATAAGTATAAACACATAAAAATCTGAATTAAAAAATTAAAATGAAAGATTTTTTTTCCCTGAAAGTTTGGGCCAAAAATGTGAGTACACATTACACATGGCAAAATAAGGTAAGAATCTCTGTCAAGATGTGCCTCTGGTGCTCCTTCTGCAAAAATGGAGAAATGACATTTCAAGTTGCTCTTATAGCTCACACCCAAGATCCCTTATTCACCAGCCATCCTGACTATTGGTCAGTCTCAACTTGCCAGCTTAAATTACTGCAGGATCCTTAATCCTTACATAGTTATCCTGATTCTAGTTCTGACCCATAAAAACCAGTACTGTTATTTAGTTCTTTCTTTCATATCACCAAAGGCAGTTATCTATTTTATTTTTCTTGCAAACCCAGACCAAAAAATGTCCTTAAAAGTTAACTTTATTTGCTTGTGATCCATAGCATGAGTGCTATGGCCCAAGCCATCCTTTTGGTACTTTGGAGCATTCTGAAAATTCAAAGATATACCAAAACTGCTTGGTCAGTAACCAGTTTCTTTTTTATTTAGATCTTCCTTCTAGGCCTTTGTGTTCAG